AAAAAAAAAAAAAAATAGATTCTTTAAGGTTTTCTCTGTGTAAGATCATGTCATCTGTGAGTAGAGATAGTTTAACTTTTCTCTTTACAATGTGAATGCTTCTTCTTTTTTTTTGAGATAGAGTCTCACTTTGTTGCCCTTGGTAGAGTGTCTTGACATCACAGCTCACAGTAACCTCCAGCTCTTGGGCTAGGTGATTCTCTTGCCTCAGCCTCCTGAGTAGCTGGGACTACAGGCACCAGCCACAATGCCCAACTATTTTTTGTTGCAGTTTGGCCGGGGCTGGGTTTGAACCTGCCACCCTCAGTATATGGGGCTGGCGCCCTACTCAACTGAGCCACAGGTGCTGCCCTACAATGTGGATGCTTCTTATTCCTTTCTCTTATCCTATCCCTGGCTAGAGCTTCCAGTACGGTGTGGAATAGTGGGAGTGAGACGTCTATGTCTTGTTCCTGGTCTAGAGTAGATCTTGTCTGTCAGACTGAGGGACCGTCCCTTTTCTTTCTAGTTTATCAAAGGCTTTTATCATGAAAGGATAAAATTTTGTCACGTGCTTTTTCTGCATCTTTTGAGATAATCGTGGGTTTTTTTATTCTAATGATTACTGTACTATATTAATTTTTTGAATTTTAAACCAACCTTGCATTCTTGCAATAAATCCTAATTGGCCATGGTACATAACTCTTTTTATATGATATTTACTGTATTTGGGTATTTTATTGAAATTTTTGTGGTTTCCTGTTGATTTGTGCATTTATCACACCATCAAGAGAAGCACAGTGCATCCCACTCTGGAAGAACTGGGAGCCCCAGCACCATTTAGAGACACTGAGGAGGTTTTTATTGTATTTTCATTTCAGTTCGAGGAGTTATGACCATTCAGAGAATTCTCATTTGGTCCTCGGTGGCCGTATAGGGAATCGGGATATTCTTTCCAGGTTGCAGGTAAGATAGAGGATGCCAAAATGTGGTGTTTTTACTGCATTTAAGTGATCTCTTATAAATATATTTATTATGGGGCTCAGCAGTGTTTACGGCACCAGCCACATACACTAAGGGTGGAGGGTTTGAACCTGGCCTGGGCCAGCTAAACAACAATGACAGCTGCAACAAAAAAATAGCCAGGCATTGTGGCGGGCACCTATACTCCCAGCTACTTGGGAAGCTGAGGCAAGAGAATAGCTTAAGCTCAAGAGTTTGTGGTTGCTGTGAGCTATGACACCATGACACCCTACCAAGGATGACATAATGAGACTGTCTAAAAAAAAAAAGGGTATTTATTATGGGCCACACCTGTAATTGCAGCACTTTGGGATGCTGAGGTGGGAGGATCACTTGAGATCAGGAGTTTGAGACCAGCCTGGTCTTGCTATGACTTCACCTCAACAAAAAAATTTAAAAATTAGTCAGGCACAGTGGTGGCGCCTGTAGACCCAACTTCTCAGCAGACTGAGGCAGGAGGATCCCTTGAACCCAAGAGTTGGAGGCTTCAGTGAGCCACTACACTCCAGCCTGGGAGACAGAGTGAGATCTGGTCTTCACAAAGAAAATCTGTGATTCTAGAAATATCTCCAAACTTTGGGAAACTTAACATTTGAAAGTAGAGGCCATCAAACAAGTGGCAGCTTTGGCGGTGAGATTGCTGTGCCTGCTCCCCACTCTGGCAGGCCTTGAGCACTGAGGTGGCACATTCACAGCTCCTCATGACAGTGAGGCTGTGGGGTGGGTACCAGACTCATCTGCTGCGAGGTGCCCAACGCTAAGGTGAATGTGCAGGGCAGGGCCCAGCGTGGAGTCCTCCCTGCCCATATTCCTCCCCATACAGGTCTCCTGAGGGCAGGTGGGGTTGGTGAGGAGCAGAGTACCCCGTGCCATTGTCCCCACGGGAGGCTGCACCCTAGTCTGCATTATCTGGCACATGTGTTGTCTCAGGCTTCCTATTGCTTTTATGGTGCTTCTTCTAAAACACCTCAATTTAAAATATGTGGGAAGCGATTTAGAAGCCCTGGAAGGTGTGTTTTTGTCTGCTGAGAAAATTTACTTACAGAGAGACCAGAGACCCTAACCCTGCTCTAGACCTGTGTTCTTCCTATGTCCTTCCTGTGTCCTTTCTGGATGTCAAAGGGAGTGTGACCAGGGAGGGACAGCTGCTGTGTGTGGCATCCCATGTGGGTCTGCAGCACACCCAGTGTGGGCATGCACTGTCCATGTATCTGGGTGCATGTGCCTAGCCGACTGTGCCTGTGTACATGCGCCGTCCATGCATCTGGATACGTGCACATAGCCGGCTGTGCCCATGTGTACACACTGTCCATGCATCTGTGTGCGTGTGCATGGCCGGCTGTGCCCATGTGCACATGCTGTCCGTGCATCTGTGTGTGCGTGTGCATGGCCGGCTGTGCCCACGTGCACAAGCTGTCTGTGTGTCTGTGTCTGTGTGCGTGTGCATCACTGGCTGTACCCATGTGCACATGCTGTCCGTGCATCTGTGTGCACATGTGCATGGCCGGCTGTGCCCATGTTCACATGCTGTCTGTGTGTCTGTGTGCGTGTGCATGGCCGGCTGTACCCATGTGCACATGCTGTCTGTGTGTCTGTGTGCATGTGCATGGCCGGCTGTACCCATGTGGACATGCTGTCCGTGCATCTGTGTGCGCATGTGCATGGCCGGCTGTGCCCATGTGCACATGCTGTCTGTGTGTCTGTGTGCGTGTGCATCGCTGGCTGTGCCCATGTGGACATGTTGTCTGTGCATTTGTGTGCGTGTGCATGGCCAACTGTGCCCATGTGCACACACTGTGTGTCTGAGTATATGCGTGTTGCCAGCTGTGCTCGTGTGTATGCGTTTAGGCCACAGACATCAGAGAGGCAGGTCTTGCCATTTAGGTTTGTGGTGTTTGTGATGATGTGACTTCCCAGTCTGGACTCTGAAAATCAGACCCACTTTTGGAAGAGAAGTATCTGCAATCATCAAAAATAT